TGCAATGGCGGTTCCAGTTAATGGTTTGGCTAGGTATTAAGGACCTAGAGGGCGTTTGGAGGGATCGGAGCGAAGACCCGAAGCTGATGAAGGGGCTGGGGGAGCCTCTAGCTCATCCATACGTGAGGGAAGTGGAGGTGGATCAGCAGCACCGCGAATCGGAAGGCAACGGCTTAGTGCGGAGGAGCTACTTAAGGCACAGGAAGCATGGGACCGCAAGGACAAGCAAGCGTTCCAGTACCTGTGTTGGGATTTGGAAGGCCAATTAGAGCTCCTGAAGATGCTGATTGACCTGAAGGGGAAGCAATGAGCAACTACTCAAACATGGAAGAGAGTTCAAGATCGACATTTGCAAAAGGGGATGCTAAGCATATTCACCTCGAGGAAGTGATTCTACACAATGGAACGTAACTATGGCAATGGGGAGACCATGGTGCAGTATCTCTAGAGGGTGAATGAGTATGTGAAGGGCATTGGAGGAGTTAAACTACAAAGTAGATGAGAAGGAGATCATCTACACCGCACTCCAGGTGCTGGACCAAGAGGCAAACGAGGCTTTACTAGAGTACCTTCACCTAGAGCAGCAGAAATGGACCAAGGCCTGGATATGGGAGGTGTTGGTCTCTGATGAGGCTCGCAAACGTGATGCTGGTAGAGGAGTTGAAGGAGGGATGGGGGTAGGTGATAGGGCTGCCTCCAAGAAGTACCAGCAGCGGCAAGGAGGTGGGGGGAAGAAGAAGGAGCTCGACAAGTGCCTCGTCCTTTGATGCAACCGGAAGCACTCGTGGAAGGAGTGTTGGAGCCGGCCAGATGGGTGGAAGCCTCAAGGTTATCTAGGAGAGGCTCCACCTGTCACTAGGCCTGAATGTGTGGAGAAGAGGATGAAGAACGTAGCCTAGAACAAGAAGGGCAGCAAAGGAAAAGTGGCAGCAGCAGCGGCAAATGATGGTGGGAAGGGAAAAGAGGACTCGTCGGATGACGGTTTCTCCTTCCTTTCCTTGGAGAAGGAGACGGCGCTTGCTGGTCGTGTGTTGGCTGACCCTAACCACTTCGTACTAGACGCATGTGTTCACACCGAAGAAAGATGGGGTCTTTCGCATGTGCATAGATTACCGTGCACTGAACAGAGTTACGATCAAGTCCCATTACCCCATACCGCGAGCTGACGAACTCATCGACCAACTTCGCACAGCCCGTGTTTTCTCAAAGATCGATCCTCGAGGGGGTTACCACTAGATCCGCATAAACCCACCCAACTGCCCGAAAACCGCCTTCCGCACCCGCTACAGTTCATTTAAATACACCGTCATTCTCTTCGGACTAAGCAACGCCCCCGCCACATTTCAAATAACCATGAACGAAGCCTTTACCCACTCTTAAATAAGTGTGTAATCATCTACTTAGACGATGTACTGATCTACAGCCCGGACAGAGCACAGCATCTACGGGACATCAAAGTATACTTTAAATAATGAGTAAAAACCGCCGACTAACCAAAGCCTATAAGTGTGAGTTTTTATAGGACAGACTGAAGTTTTTGGGCCATGTTATTTCGGCCAACGGCATGGAAATAGGCCAGAAGAGGATTGCGACGATTCAGTCCTGGCACGCGCCGACAAATCTGACCGAGTTGCAGAGTTTTCTGGGGTTCGTCAACTACGTGCGTCAGTTCGTCCCCGACATGGCGAAGCTGACTGCTCCGCTGACCGACTTGCTGAGAAAGGGGGTTGAGTAGACGCGGGGGGAGAACGAGCAAGCTGCCTTCGCGAACCTTAATAACATTTTGTGCTCGCCGCCCGTGCTTCACGTTGCTAATCCCCACCGTCTGTTCGAACTGGTCACCGACGCAAGTGATATCGCTGTAGGAGTAGTACTCTTGCAGGATTTCAGGAACGACCTTCATCCAATCGTGTATGAGTCCCACAAGCTTCACCCGCCCGAACGCAACGACCCGATACACGACCGCGAGATATTGGCGATCGTGCACGCGTTCAAAGTGTGGCGGTGTTACCTCACAGGAGCCGACGTGACAGTCGGTCAGATCACTGTTCACTATTGTACCTCCGCGCCCAACTGAACTTCAATCCGCGACAAATACGGAGGTTAAACTATCTGGAGTCCAATTTTCACTACACCGTCACGTACAAAAAGGGGCATCGAATATCGCTGACACCCTCACTCGCCCCACTGCCCAACTTCACGCCATCCTACTTGCCAACAAGCCTATTCACCCATAGACACCGCACCGACCCATTTTTTACCACCGGAAATTCACAGTCACGGATAGAAGGTAAGGGACTATATTACGTAAAAACGGGAACCAACCGCATCTGGGTTTAGGGTTTAGGGAAAACGGGGACCAACCGCATCTGGCATACTCACTGTTAAGGGAACTGCTACTGCAGGAGGCACATGACGGAGTTACCTCGGGACACTTCAGGGTTGAAAAACGCGACAGCAACTGCAGTGGTACTAATACTGGCCGGAGCTCTTGACCAACGTACAGCACCACGTAGGATCGTGCCCCACATGTCAGGTGATGAAAAGCTCGCACAAGAAAAAGGCGGGTCAACAGCAGTCGATTCCGCCGCCCGAGCGCGCCTGGCAACAAGTTACAATGGATTTTGTCACGGGGTTATCTGCGAGCCCTGGTGGTAATGACGCAGTCATCGTTGTCGTTGACCAAGTGCCGACCAGAACCTCCAGTGACTCCAGCTCCAGTAGCTCCAGTACCTCCAGCTCCAGTACCTCCAGTACCTCCAGCTCCAGTGCCTCCGGCACCTCCAGCTCCAGTACCTCCAGCTCCAGCACCTCCAGCTCCAGTACCTCCAGCTATAGTACCACCAGCTCCAGCTCCACCAGCACGAGTACCTCCAGCACCAGCGTCAGTAACCCCAGGCTCAGCACCCCCCAGATTCAGCACCCCCAGGCTCAGCACCCCCAGACTCAGCACCCCTAGGCTCAGCACCCCCAGGACCAGCACCTCCAGCGTCAGAACCCTCAGAGTCCACGCCTCCAGCGCCACCACCCCCGACAGCACCGGAGTCCACCGCGGCAGGCTGCAGAGGCGGCGAAGACGGCCGAGGCGAAAAGCCAGGAGGGGTCTCCAAGCGCGGGGAGCGGCGAGAGGCCGCAGTGTCGCAAACAGCAGGGTCACCCCCCTCATCCGGGCCAGAGGAGACCTCCAAAGGTTCAACCAAGGGGGGTGGTGCTACCTGAGACATGCCTGAGGGAGCAGGATGCGAGGGGGGGTGGGGGTCTACCGGGGGATAACCTGGAACCAGGAAGAGGGGCGGCGGGGGAATAGACGGTAGAAGCAGACTGACTCGTCAAATTTGATGTCACGAGAGGACGGGACGCGATGCGTGGCTGGGTGGTAAAACTGCCAGTCGGGCGCATCGGTGGGAAAGCCAAGGAAGACGCAGCGAATAGTGCGAGCAGAGAGCTTGCCCGCGGTAGTATTGCGGACAAGGGCAAACGAACCCCATACCCAAAACACCGATGTATCACCAACCTTCCCCGTCCAACGCAGTGTAGGCGAGGTCTCTGGCTCGGAGACACGGGGCCAGAGGTTGAGCTGATGCGCGACGTATCAGACTGCAAACGGCCACAGAAAATGGGGAGCAGCCGCATGGATCATGGAGGTGCGAGAAAACTCCATGATCAAGCCAATGTGGTGCTCAGCAATCCCATTTTGCTGTGGAGAGGCCGGAAGCGTGAATGACTGGGTGATGCCCTCCTCACAACAAAAGTCCTCGAGGAGACCGGAGGAGAACCCACCTCCACGATCAGAGTGCAGCCGCAGCACCGGGAGGTCCTCCACCCATCGGCATCGTGTCAAGTTACTAAACGGGAAATGAATTGGGTAAGGAAAAACAAGGAACAAGAAAGATATAGCAAACCCTAGGAATAGTTCTAGCAGAAGTGCAACAAAATATAGAATACCAGACTATAAATATAGTTTGACACACCCCCATAGTCTAGGTGATGACATTCCTGGGGAACGCAACAAATATCTCAGGGTGGATCTCAAGATCACCATGCACTTCGAGAGCAAGGGTCACAAGACCAGTCCACAAGAACAAAGCAAATCTCAGGGTGGATTTCAATATCACCACGCAGTCTGAGAACAAGCAAGAGGCCACAAGGCCAGTCCACAAGCAAGTATATAGCAAGTATAAGAGATGCAAGAGTACAAGACAAGCAAGACAAGCATATCTACGTAAGCAAGTGAGGACAGGAAGGCACAAGGCCCAACTGGGTGCAGAAACACTGGTGGTTACAAGGCGGCAACGCCTTGGTGAAGATATCTGCAGTGTTGGCCTTAGAGACCACACGTAACATGCGGGCCTGGCCACGCTGCTGAAACTCGCACAGAAAGAAGTAACGAATATGGATGTGCTTCGCCTTCCCAACCAGCCGGGGCTCCTCGTACAAAAGGACAGCAGCCCTGTTGTCGGCGAACAAGACTGGGGGAGAGCGAGGCCGCTCACCAAGGTCGGTGAGGAGGAAAGACATCTAGCCAAGCTCCTGGGCGGCCATGGCCACAGCGTACACCTCCGCCTCACAGCTGGAGCCAGCAACAGACGACGCCCGAGTCGACCGCCATGAAACAGCTCCGGTCCCGAGGCTGAAGCAGTAGCCCTGTGAAGACCTTGTTAAAGTTATATTTAATATATCCTGCTTGTTGTAGTTACTGTAGTGTAGTTATCTGATTGTTTGCTTGGGGTGCACCTTTGCTAGTTTGGTATATGTACCTTGTGTGCTATAGTGAACACAACCATTCTCAATTCTCCTTGGCACAAATACGCTCGACACCCGCTTGGCCTAGGCTACTAAGCCTAGGCCCTCTTAAACCCGTTATCTAGCTAAGTCCGTTTCGTAACATGTTATCAGAGTGTTGAATCCTGCGGACCGAATCTCTTATATGGGCCCACCAATCGCGCTCGTCATGTCGCGCCCCACGGATCTCCCGTCGCGTTCTGCTTGTAGCTCGCTCGTCACGCTCTGCACGTGGCGAGGAAGGCGGCGAGCTGTGGCGATCGCGCCAGCGACCAGTGGCGAGCGTACCACCAGCCATTCAGACCGCCAGCGACGGTCGCCCGCGATAGCATTGGCGCCAGCGAACCCGCCGACGGACCCGCCGTCGGACCCGCCAACGAGCGCGCCAGCAAGCCCGCCGACGAACCCGCCGTTGGACCCGCCGACGGATCCCCCGACGGACCCGCCGACGAGCCCGCCAGTGAGCTCGCCAACGGACCCGCGAGCCCGCAAGCAAGCGAGCCGACGGACCCGCCGTCGGACCCGCCAGCAACTGCCGCCAGCACCGACGCCAGCGACACCGCCAGCACCGACGCCAGCGACACCGCCAGCGACAATGCCAGCGACACCGCCAGAAGAGACCCCCGCCAGCACTACACCGCCAGAAGAGACCCCGCCAGCAGCGCCACCGCCAGCAGAGACCCCGCCAGCAGCGCCACCGCCAGCAGAGACCCCGCCAGCGGCGCCACCGCCAGCAGAGACCCCGCCAGCAGAGACCCCGCCAGCAGAGACCCCCGCCAGCAGAGACCCCGCCAGCAGAGACCCCACCAGCAGAGACCCTGCCAGCAGAGACCCCGCCAGCAGAGACCCCCGCCAGCAGAGACCCTGCCAGCAGCTACACCGTCAGCAGAGACCCCGCTGCAGGGACTACCGTGGGTGGGGCAGGGGTGTGGAGGAAGGAACGGGGGGGGGGGGGTGCGGTCCAAGGGGGCGGCTGTTATGGGGGGTGAGGTTAAGGGGGGGTGGTTGAATGGGTGTGGGGATTTGGGGGTTACTAAGAGGGGTTTCGCCATGCTTGGCTCCCCCCCACCTCCTCTCCTCATCACTCTCTCACCTCCCCCTTTTGTAAAAGGGGGTTACTACGAGGGTTTCGCCACGGGTGGCTCCCCCTCAACTCCTCGCCTCATCCCTCTCTCACCTCCTCCTTGGTACTTCTCCCCTCTCCTCTCCTCTCTCCCTCTCGCCTCCTCCTCCTCATTTAACTCTCTGCAGTCATCCACTGCGCCAGGTGTACCCCTTCAGAGGGTGCTGACTGCACTAGTTATTACTGCAAGCAGGCTAAGGGGGTGTGTTAAAGTTATATTTAATATATCCTGCTTGCTGTAGTTACTGTAGTGTAGTTATCTGATTGTTTGCTTGGGGTGCACCTTTGCTAGTTTGCTATATGTACCTTGTGTGCTATAGTGAACACAACCATTCTCAATTCTCCTTGGCACAAATACGCTCGATACCCGCTTGGCCTAGGCTACTAAGCCTAGGCCCTCTTAAACCCGTTATCTAGCTAAGTCCGTTTCGTAACAGACCTGTACGTCTGACCACACTCCGCGTACGACGAGTCCGAGAAACCTGTAAGTGTAACTGGCTGCTTTCCTCCAATGACAAGTCCCATGCCTGATGTGCTTGCCACATACTTCGCCACCCCAGCCAGGTCGAGCGGTACCTTGGGCTGGAGATCGTGCGCGACAGGCCGGCGGGGAATTTGTGGCTGCATCAGCAATTGTGCGTCGACAAGCTGCGCAGGCGCTTCATCGACGAAGAGCAGACTGGGCGGACCCCGAAGACGCCAGTCTCCGTCGACGCCTACGTCAAGCTGACGTTCGACAGTGAGGATGCTCAGGCGCGCGAGGAGGAGGAGTACCGGCAGAAGGTCGGCTCGCTGCAGTTCGCGGCGACAACGACGAGGCTAGACATCGCTTTCGCGTGCAACAAGTTGGGGAGCGGCCTCACGGTGAGGAGCGACCAGCACTGGCGCTAGGTCGACCGCTACCTCGCCTACCTCGCCGACACCCGTGACACCGCTCTGGAGTTTAAGGGCTACCTCAAGCACATGGAGCGACGCTACGCCTGGTTGCAGCAGATGGTGAAGCGCAGGAAGTTCGTACTGCGGTACATCCCGACCACCGAGCAGCCGGCCGATTTCCTGACGAAGCCGCTGCATTTTCCGGCCTTCAACCGGTGCTCTATCGCGATCGGCCAAGTGCGCCTGGCCTAAGTCGGCGACGGTGACGACAACGTGCAGCAGTAGGTGCCATGCCCTTTTGCATGGATGGTGCGGTGACGGCGTGCTGTGCATTGGGTGCACGCCGACCGTTTTTCTCCGTGCAGTTCTGCCGTGCGGCAGGGGAGTGTTGATGGGAATGGGTTGTTGGTGACGCTGGGTGACGCTGGGTGACGCTGACTTCCTGGTCGGACGCGCGGGTGGTGCAGCCGACTGTTCTGCAGGGTTCGACGCGTGTTGGTCCACGGGGTTGTCGACCTGCAGGCGACCACTGCAATGCCACCGTCGACGGAGGCCGGCGGCAGACTTCTACTGGTGTGGTCGACGAAGGGTTCGTCGACCGGCCCTGGGTGTGGTCGACGAAGGGGTTCGTCGACCTGCGTGGCACTCTCGAGGAGCCGTCGACGAGGGATCTTCGACGGCAGCAGTTGACCGAGCTGGTCGACGGAGGGGACTGTCGACCAGGATGGTCCTCGACGGAAGCTGTGGTCGACGAGGGAGTCATCGACCAGGGCACTGGGTGGTCGACCGGGTCGACCAGGTAACCTGCTCGGCGGTGTTCTGCGGAAGCACGCGAACTCCGTCGAGGCCGCGACGGCGAAGGCGACTTCGGGTTGGTATCCCGAAGTTGATGTAGCTCGTCAGGCGTAGACAACAGCCGGCGGACATGTGACGGTGCACGTCGGGCCAATCGTCTGCGCGCACCTGCGAGTGTGCGCACTGCTTCTTCTACGGGTGCAACGCTGGGCCGCCGCCTTGCTGCAGCATTGGCACGCCGTCGACCTGCTCTGTTGGCATGCCGCGTTTCTGTAGTGCTGGCGCGGCTCCTCTACGTAATGCTGGCAGGGGGCCGACCATGCTGTGCTGGCGGTCGACCAGTTGCCCTGCTAGGTTGCTAGGCACTGATGTAGTCATCCTTGCCATTGTTGTATCAATCATTCTGCAATGCAACTTTCCCTAGTAAAACTCTTGCCAAATTGATCTGTGAATGCACAAGTGCTAGAGAACGCTAAGCTACGATCACTCCTAGAGCTCGTGCCAACCCCCCCCCCCCCCCCCCCCCCCCCCCCCCCGTAGTCTAGCTCCCGACCGTTGTAGAGCAACTCTCCGCAATCGGGGCCCAAGCAGGTAGTGCCAGCACCGGGGCCAGTCAAGATCCTGTACCTGCAGGGACCAACGTCGCGCCTACTGCTGGCTAAGCCGCTGCTGGGGCCGGTACTCCTAGGACCCTCAGGTCTCCACTGCCGGGAGTGCTGTACCTGCGGTCGTAATGGCTGACCTTGCCGCAACAGAACTCTAGTAGACGCCATGGTGGGTGCTAGAGACGGCCGAGCGTGGTGGGGAGCGGCTAGGAGCGGTCGGGTGTGGTGGGTGTAGCGGGTACGGGTGGTGCAATAGGTTATGGGTGGGGCGGAGCGTACAGGTGAGGCTGCGGCTAACTGGTGGGGCAGCGGGTTTCAGCTCGTGGAGCAGCAGGGAACGGGTGGGGCAGCGGGTAACGGGTGGGGCAGCTTGTGGGGCGGTGGAGTTAGCTCGTGTGGTGGCGGGTTTCAGGTGGGGCAGCGGGTTTCAGCTCGTGAGGGCGTCAGAGAACGGGTGGGGCGGCGGGTTTCAGGTCGTGGGGCAGTTGCTAACGGGTGGGGCAGCGGGTGGGGCAGGTAACGGGTGAGGCAGCTCGTCGGGAGGCGGGTTTCATGTGGGGCGGCTGCTAATGGGTGGGGCGGCGGGTTTGACAGCGGGTGGGGCAGGTAACGGGTGTGGCAGCTCGTAGGGAGGCGGGTTTCAGTGCGTGGGGCGGCGGGTTTCAGGTGGGGCAGCGGTTTCAGGTCGTGGGGTGGCGGGTTTCAGGCGGGGCGGCGGTTTCAGATCGTGGGGCAGCGGGTTTCAGGTGTGAGGCGGCGGTTTCAGGTGTGGGGCTGCGGGTTTCAGGTGTGAGGCGGCGGTTTCACGTCATGGGGCGGTGGGTTTCAGGTGGGGGGCGGCGATTTCAGGTCGTGGGGCGGCGGGTTTCAGGTGTGAGGCGGCGGTTTCAGGTGTGGGGCGGCGGGTTTCAGGTGTGGGCGAGCGGGTTCAGGTGTGAGGCGGCGGTTTCAGGTCGTGGGGTGGTGGGTTTCAGGTGTGGGGCGGCGGTTTCAGGTGTGGGACGGCGGGTTTCAGGTGTGGGACGGCGGGTTCAGGTGTGAGGCGGCGGTTTCAGGTCGTGGGGCTGCGGTTTCAGGTGTGGGGCGGTGGGTTTCAGGTGTGGGGCGGCTGGTTTCAGGTGGGGCGGCGGTTAAGGCAGCGGGCGACGGGTGTGGGAGGGCACGGCTAACAGGCTGCACGTGCGCGCGGCTGTTGCTGCGCGTGCGTGCGGTCGCGGCGTACGTGCGCGTGGCTGCACGTGCAGCTGCGCGCGTGCGTCTGCTGTGTGCTAGCGGGCTGGCGGGCAACGCACGGGGCAAAACGGGTGGGGCGCGGGGCAAAATCAGGTGACGCGCGGGGCAAAACGGGTGGGGGCGGGGCATAAATGGTTGACGTGCGGGCTAGTGGGGTGACGGGGCGCTTCGGGCGTTGGGGCGCTACGGGGCGCTACGGGGGGCGCTTCGGGTCGCTATGGGGAGCTATTGGGCGCCTCGGGCGTTGGGGCGCTACGGGCTAGGTCGGGTTACGGGGAGGTGGGCCCTTCGGGATCTACGGGCGCTACGGGGAGGTGGGCCCTTCGGGGAGGTGGGCGCTACGGGCTAGTTCTATACCATGTCAAGTTACTGAACGGGTAATGAATTGGGTAAGGAAAAACAAGGAACAAGCAAGATATAGCAAACCCTATAAATAGTTCTACCACAAGTGCAACAAAATGTAGAACACCTAGACCAACCTAAAGAAACTAAATAAATATAGTTTGACACATCGCCCTTGCTCCCCAACGGAAACACCGTGGTGTAGCGCGTGTAGTTGTCAACGACCAGCAGGAAGTAATGCTCCCGACCCATCCCAGGGACGAGGGCGGGGCCCCACATGTCCATGTGTAGGGTCTGCAGAGGACAAGTGGTCGGAGGAAACGAGGAGTGAGGAGCGGCGCGCTGCCGCCCCTCGACGCAAGGAGTGCACGGCGAAGCAAGCGACGGCGGGAGCGGGGGCAGGGACCTCGGAAGGCCAGAGACAAGAAGACGGGAGTGCATACGACGCAGACGCTGCAGGGAGGGGTGACCAAGACGGTGGTACCAGAGGAGAGACGGGTGCGTGAGTAACCGACACGAGCAAGACGCAGCTACCTGACCGGACGCGGCTACCTGTGTTGACTCAGTGTGCAGTGTGTACAAGCCAGACCCAGGCCTCCGGATGAACGTGGCGAGGTGGTCGCCAGTCACCGAGTCCGTACAGATCGCCACAAGCTCGCCCCGAGGAGTAGTGGTAGTGACCAACTCATCCTGGAGGACAGCCTAACTCACCAAGTTCGTAGCGAACGAGGGGAGGTGGAAACCTGTGAGGGAGCCAGAGGGGGCTGCCAGACACGGGAGAACAGTGGAACTGCGTGCAACGACTGGGCCACTAGAGGGGTCGGCCAGAGTGACTGGGAGAGGTGTCGCGAGCGGTGTGAGTGTGGTGCAGTCGCGGAAGAAACACTGAGACGCCCAGAGTCCAGTGTGAAAGTGTGCATCGCCTTCGCAGGAGCTGCCTCCGTGCTAGCAGTCTCACACGCCCCTATACTAACAGCCTCTACCGGCTACTGTCCACCCCTAGGACCGTCTCGTCCACCGACCGCTCCACCCTCGCCACCATTCCCACTCTCGCCAGCTCCACCACCACTACCACTCC